ACTTTGATGAATCGATATTACACTATGTTACTACAAAGGTAGCCAATATATTATTTCAATTCTAAAATGTCTATTTATCGTAGAAAATTTATAATAAATAAAAAACTGGCTACCTCTGTAGTAACATGGTCTAATCAATCAATCTTTAGGGACACACAAAAACAATATTCCAAACTTTTTTTTTTCTCATCTTGGTTTTTAATTTAAAAAATGTATCATTTATTTGATAATATGCAAAAAATTTGAGGAAATTTGGAAATTATTATATCTAATATAATGATTTAGTGAAAACCCGGGTTTCTTTACCCCTGAAAATCCCGCACTTATAAAACACAAATTTATAAAAAATTGAAACAAATATTTTTTTTTAACTAATGCTCACTTGTTTCAGATGAAAAATTTTTTAAATATTAAAATTGATTTTTTTTTTTCAGAAAAGAAACTAAAATCCTACTTCCGCTTCGCGACGCATAGTGAGCCGTGGCGCAGTGTACCGCATTTGCCTCAGAAACAAAGAATCCGTGGTTTAAAACCCATCTCTAGGCAAGATTTGCAACATCGGTTAGGAAACAGAAGTGAACTTTCTATTAAATGGTCTTACGCAGTGCTCTGTGATAAGACCATAATGACTTCTTGAGGCACTTGAATAAAATTTAAAAAAATCTTTGTAGGTTTTAGCCATGTTTTCAGAGAGCGTTTGTTGTTTAAGTATATTAGTGATTCGTTTCTGAAAATTATTTTCTTGAATAATTTTTCTTTATAAATAATTTTAAGAGTCTTGTTGTTATAAAGGGTATCATAATGTGGTTTTAATTTAGGTTTGCGGGTACTGCCCTATGTTGTATTAGCATAAAAAAATATTTATGCATGAATTAAAAGTAAAGGAAAACAGATTTTTTTGTGAAAAAAATGGACTTGCTTTGTAAAATAAATCTCTGTTTATAGGTTTAAAAGTTTAATGTTTGCAGATGATAAAAACTTATTATGTTCCTCAACAACTACCGAAAAACTATTTAAAAGAACAAATTTTGAGCTGAAAAAACTTAAATATATGATTTAAGAAAATAAACATCACTGAATATAAAAAAACTAAATACATATTATTTTACTCCAGTAAACATAAAGATATCCCAAATCTTCCAACAATCTATATAGAAAACTATGGAAAGAATTCAGAATACCAAATTTTTAGTTGTTTTGATTGATAAAAACACTTCTTGGAAAACCCATATTAGTTACATAAACACGCATAAATCTAAGAGTATAAGTTTACTCTACAAAGCCAAACCAATTTTGTCACAAAATATTCTAAAATTTGTTTACTTCTCTTATATATTTTCTTATATTATTTATACATATATATATATATATATATATATATATATATATATATATATATATATATATATATATATATATATATATATATATATATATATATATATATATATATATGTACGTAAAAAACGTACCTCAAGGCTTGTGTACAACAAAGAAAAATTTACTAATGGGCAGTCGTTATTAGAACAAATTAAAACACTAAACATCTTTCAATTAAATATTTATTAAATTACACTGTTCATGTTTAAACACAAACTGAACTTGGTGCCAGAGCATTTTACGACAAGCCGTTTTGAAAAAATATTTAAAAATATATGACAAGAGCGTCAATTTTAAATGGTAAATTAAAATTTAAATTACCATTTGAAACGAAAAAAACCCTTAAGATTCCTATTTCATATTGAGGTCCGAGTTTATACAAATACAATACTGTCTAACAACGAATTCACTGATAAATATGAATAATGAAAAGTCTTAAAGTTGAGAAATCTAAAATGAACTTAAAATTAAGAAGTCTAACTATTAAATTAAACAATTATAAAGACTTTTTTTAAACTACTTTTATCCAAAAACAAAAATCTAAACCAAAACCAAAGTTTAATTTATCAATAAAAAAGAAAAATAAAAACTATGAGAAAACTTTTTAAATGATATTTAAATCAATTACAAAGTGAATTTTTTTGTTTATGTGTACAACACGTCTACTATAAAAGCACTCGATGAAAAAACTAGTTTGCAGTCTTCTGCGAACTCCCTATGACTACGTAAAAGGAAATCTAACTTTTTTTCTCTTTTAATAAAAAATTTTAATAGTTGTAACAGTTTGATAAGTTAATACATTTCATAAAACATTTCACAAAATGCAAAAATATACAAGATATATTTAAATACTTTTAATAATAAATATTACAAATAATATAGAGATATTTTTATCGGAGCTTTATACGTTTTATTATGCTATTGTCGTATTATCTTATTTTTATATCATTTTATACCTAAGTTGTATACGACTGTTTCTTAGATACTAACTTTGTTTATTTTAGACTATGTGCTTATGATATTTATTTTATATAAATATATCTATGTCATTAATCTGTTTGACATAGTTGTGTGTTACATTGCCAGTGTAAAATATATATGAAATAAAAAAATAGTTATAAACTTCATTACCTTAACATTTATAAGACCAAATCTTGAATTTGTGATACCTTATAAGTGGTGTTAATGTAGTTGAAAAAAGTCTCCGTTATGCCACTAAATAAAAACCCCAGATTTTTAAGCAAAATTATGAAACAAGAATTAAAATTCTTAATTTAATCCTACTGGAAAAAAGATTTGAAAGAGGTGAATTAATTCAAACGTACAAACTATATAAAATAATACGTTATATGGAATTAGATTGTAAAATGTTTGCATCGTACCAACCCAACACAAGTGGCCATAGTTTCAAAACCAGAAGAGAAATTTCAAAAAACTGAAATCTTTGTCATCAATTGTTAACCAATAGAGTCTCATGAATGTGGTACAAATGACCTGATTTTAGCAACAAAACTTAATCGAAACATTGATATATTCAGAGCAACTAGACAGAAGTGGAGGAGGTACATTGATACTTGTTAATAAAATATTCTCAAAGAACATTGAACATATTGATCTACCTATTCCCACATCATACTGTTAACACGTCATACCTATTCATAACATTGATCTTACAATTGTCCGAACCTTTCCAAAACTATTATCATGTAGATACTCATCATGTTTGATAGTTTGCGCATACATCCCAGTCTGGTAAGTAATTGCTCAGCAAGAAGCATCTTTCCAACTTGTACAATTTGTTGAACCAGCAAACAGTCGTTACACTACTAACAGCTTACCCTTAATTTTTGTTGCCTGTAATTTAAATGGATGTTTTACTTGTTTTATCTCTCTTTCGCATCAATTAATTAAACTCAAACTCAACGCAAAAACTAGGAATCTTGGATATAATAATAAGAACGCACATAAATGTTACATTTCCTAAACTATTCCTGGACTCAGTAATTTTGAATACCTCACTGTTTTAAGTCACCAATCATTTTATCTATGTAAAAATACCTACCCTCTCTACGTAAAATAACCTACCGCTCTGGTAAAATAGGATACACAGTAGCATTAATTAGAAGAACTGACCTCAAAAACATAGTCGAGTTGCATCATGATATCCAAACCGCATGCATAAACTTATTCAATGCCATATTAGTTGCTCAATATTTGTGCTAACCACTAAAAACTTCAACACTTACTAATCCCAAACCTTAAGTAACCCAAAATATTTAAAGGTTAATTTATTAAATGGAGGAAGATAGCTGCAAAGATAAATAAATTACTGAAAGTAGAATGTTATATAACAAACGCTACATATCAAGCAACACTGATTTTTGGAGAGAAGCAACAAATCGAATAAGTCTGTGAATAAACCATTAATTTTGAAAATCTAGCCGATAAACTAAACGATCATTATCAAAATGTTTGGAAAGGTAAAAATGTTTATGATATCTCAATCTTTATTATCATGCATGCAAATCAACCTACAAATCACATCTTTACTTACAATAATATTTTAACTTATCTAAGCAAACTAAATCCTAGATCACCAGGACCTGATAATCTGTCTCCAATACTATTAAAATCGTTCCATCTCAAAATATCTGCACTCTGTATTCTATTTAATTGACTATTTAAATACAATCATATGCTTCCATGCATCTATCAAAGCTGGAGTCATTCAAGGTAGCGTTCTTGTACCTATTTTACTTTTATTATTCATACATGATACAAATGATTTTTCATCACCAGAGACAAACCTTGAAAAATAGGTCAATGATATATTAACTTACATCATATATGTTATAGATATATGCAGAAAACCTACCTCAATCTAATGCGGATGACGTAGCAAATTGAACTACTGTTAATGGCGTGAAAATCAATCATATAAAATGCAAAACATTATCGATAGAGAGTTGTCATCCTAATCAAATTGCAACTCCATTGCCAATACTTTAAAGTCCAAACTTGGGTCAGTTGATTGTTACAAGTACCTAGAATCCTAATAAACAAAAATCTTGACTAGGATAAACAATAGATAAAAGTTTATAGCCCTATTAAATTAGTACCCTACTTACTAAAGTGCTTAAAAAACATTGGTTACATTTAACTAAACCTGTTTCAAATTTATAGGTCAAACACACTATTTCAAATTCTGTACAGCACCCCTATACTCTTGTTTTGCAGTGTTGCAGCAAAAAAGAGCCACAACAATTCCACAATCACTCAAAGTTATTGAGATTGACATTATGAAGAAAAAATTGTAAAACTCATATATATGTTATGCAGTTTTAAATAAATACTTGTAAAAAAAATAAATAAACAAAGTAAGTATCTAGAGCTATATAATTTGCAATTTATGATATAATTTATTTACCTAAAAAAAAACAAAAAAAAAATGTATATGCTCTCAAAGTGAAATTAATTACTATTAGTTTCACTCGAAGTTTTCGAACTACGACAGTTATTTATTATATAATATAGGTATTTAAAAAAAAAAAGCATCTATATATAGATTAGAAAAAAAGGGACGTTGAAGATTTTTATTTATAAATTACAAACTTTGAATATATAATTACAGTTAAATTTTAAAAAAATGTCTAACAAGTAATACAATTTAGATTTAAAGGTGGTTAAACGTTACTATAAAAGCTCTCAATTTATTTTTGAAAATACTAAAGCAGAGAAAATATACACAAAATAAAACAGACAAATATTTTTTCTCAAATCCTTTTTGCTTCAGGTGTCATAAAAAAAATGCAGAACTAAATATTTTTCAATTTAAATCATCTAATAAGGCGATCAACAATTTTTCTATTTTTTTAATATCAATAAAATCAAACGTTTTTCAGAACTCAATCTCTAAGCAAACGTTATATTTGAATTGAAATGTATCATAGCATTTATTATTACTACCATTAGGCAAATTAAAGATAAAATTATATTTTGAAGAAAGTTGTGCGCGTGTGTAGGAGCGTTATTTATCGTAGCATTATTGTTTTCCATTAAGAAATGGTTTACACGCTGATATTCGAGAACATTTTTCTTCTGTTATAATCATAGGTTTTTTCTTAATTAGTTCCATCTCAATTATATTATTTCTATGCGTACGTCCATAAATAAATGTGGTGTTCGAATCGTATCCTATCACATCTAGCACGTTAATTGGCAGAACTAAAACAAGAAAAAAAGATATATAAACTTATGACTTTTTGTTGTTTTTTTTCTTTATAAATCTGTATCACATGAACAAACAAAGAGAAAAGAAAGAAAAGAGAGAAGGGGTAAAATGGAGCGTAGAAGTGTTAGACGGAAAGATAACCGTTATCTCTCAACAATATTTTATAAGAAGTAGTTACTTCTGTTCATCTAATAGAGTTTTAAGTTAATATATGCCAACTATTAAAAACAAGAAAACGTATTTTATAATTATAAATAGTTAGTAAATATTGAAAGAATAATACAACTATTACAACATTTTAATATTAATTTTGTTAATATATAAACAGTTTCAGAAAATAAACTTGTAATGTAACAAAGTTTAAGTTGAACGGGACTCAGGATATCAAAGTTGCATGTGATAGCAATTTATGCGGTAGCAACAGTTAACCTTAACTTACAAGCTTAAACCATTGCTTCCCCCTTAAATTTCCTAATTTATATATTCAAATATATTATTAATTTATACATTCAAATATAAGCTTATTAAAATAAGCTTCCAAATTGAATTAGCTTCCTCTTTATTTAAACCATTGCATTAAACTCAGAGATGATGTAAGGTTACAAATACAGTTTCTAATTGTTTTTATTGCAAGGTTACAAATACAGTTGCTAGTTGTTTTTGTTGCAAGGTTACAAATACAGTTACTAGTTGTTTCTTTTAAATCAGGAATTAAGATAGTATGTATTTGTCATGCGTAATGGTTCATTAGAAACTCAATAGGCAGTATTTAGATACTAAGACACTATATTTATAGAACATTAACACAGTAAAAAAATTAAATTTTGTATTTATTTGGAACTTTGATGATATCTACCTAAAGCTTTTACATATCTGGTTTGCTGTTTATTGTTGCTTTATAGGAAAGACCGGGGCTAATTTACTCGGTTTTTACTCTGTAGCCCTAACAGCACATTTTTTAAAAATATTAAGTGTAGTCTTAAAGAGTATGACTTTGGGTAACTTATAAAAGTTGCATTCATTTACAAAAAATAATTCTTGCTGCCTTCTCGGATACTCAAAAAAAACAAAAAAAAACCGCTAATATACCCCACCACGGGGTAAGTTGCTTATACTCAAGCGGTAAGTTGACTCGCTATAATAAAAACTAAATTTTAAAGTCCTATTTATATGTATAACAATAATATTTTAACCCCCATTCCATTATTTTTTAAAAGGAATCGTAGCTAAATTATACGTTTATCAATATCATTAATCTGTAGGATCAAGTCATTGTAATATTTTAAGCAAAAGGGTAAATACAATTAAAAAGTATAAAGTGAAAAATAGTAAAAATAAAACAGTGTTCCTAATTTATCGTCATACAATTAAAACGTATATTGTTTTATTATATGAATACTTTCAACTAATTGAGTTTGAATCGGCTAGCAGCAACTATTGCAAATGAAAAACAAAGAGTTTCCGATTATGCTTGACTCGTGAGCCTAAAGGTTTTTTAAGATTAAAATTAAGATACGATTCTTAAGAATTTTGATTGATGAAATTTATCCTGGCTTCCTCAAAAAAAATATATCCAGTCTAAGATCACCAAAACTGTTGGCATGATGTATCGAATTCGTTCATACGTAATAAATAAAGTCTCATATCTTACAATAAACAAAGTCTCATATCTTGCTAATATATTTTGGGCTAATTCATGGCTTCATAAGCTATGCAAATTTCATGGTAAATACACAATAATCAAAACATAAAATAGTTTATAGCTTACAAAAACATGCCAGCAGGATCATTTACTCTAAAGACAAACGTGAACACGCTAAAGCCTTAATGAAAGATGTGAAAATGATAGATGTATTTGAAATAAATACCTATCCGCATTTAATCTTTAGGTATCGATTTATTAACAATCTCACTCCAGCAAATTTTAATAATAAGTTTGAAACAAATTTAAATGAAAACTATAACCTAAGTGCAAATTTAAATAAGACATATAAACTGCCTTGGAAATCTGATAAATATGCAGAATATAGCATAACATATAGAGGAACAAAATTATGGAATACTTATCAAAAAGGATTCAAGTGTATAAGTCGCTAATTTCATTTAAATATCTAAAAACTTGAAATTTTATTTTTTTTTATAACACTTATATTTGTACATATATTTACTTGGAAGTCTCTTCAGTTTTTTAATTTTTTTTTTAGTTTTTTTTCTTAATTTTTTTTTTTTAGTTTTTTTTTAATTTTTTTTTTTATTGTCTTTGTTTGTCTATATGATCATATTGTCTATATATATTTTTATTGTCTATTTTTAGTGCAATAAAGAATACTATTATACTTTTATAGTTTTTTAGTTTTTCAATTTTTAGTTTAAAGTAAAAATGACTATATTTTGTTAAAACTTTTTAAGGGACTCTATGAAAAGATTGCAACGACGTATCTTTATCCTTATCTCTGCGAGCCCCTGTCTGTTTAATTCTTTATCTATTAAAGATCATTAAATCCATTCCATTTTATATTTTATATAAAACGATGTCTGGTACAAGATGTACAATTTTACTATGGATATGTATGTATTTTTTAGTATATATAAGTTGATTGTATTTATTAAACAGCAAAATATAAAAAAAAAAAAAATGGATGCATTAGACCCAGACTTCTTCTGGTTTACTTTTAGAAAAAATTTGTAGACAAATCAAACAAAATACTCCTTTTCTAGCGAGCTATTTGGACGATTCAAACGTTTTTCCATTAAGTGTATACTTTTCTTACTATTTGATCTTTTAATCATCTTACCATTAACTCTATTTAACTTTTTAGCTTGTTTTTTCTTTTCAATTGTTAACTTTTTTTTTAAGCTGATTCTTTTTTCTATTTTTAAAACATTCATATTTGATGAACCTGTAAAAATTGATGAGATTCTATTTCTTTTATTAACCTTAACTCTTTTTCCTGGTTCTGCTTTTTTGAATGGTCTTAAATCTTCAGGCAATAGAACTACATTTGACTCTGTCGATGCACTGTGCACATCATTATTACTTGAATATGAAATAGTATTATGTGGTTCTGTATCTTTTGATGAACAAGCTCCTAACAAGTAATTCTCTGATATTGTAAAGTCAACATCAATTACATTACTTGTATTTAGCGCTTTACTTTCCACAGCACAGTTTTGTTTAGAAGTTGATATTGTTTCGAATTTGTACTTTCAACAGCACAGTCTTATTTTGATCTGTAGTATAGGCTGGTATAAAATCGTGTTCACTTAAAATGTTAACATTTTTTGGGGAAATTCCTGCTTTCACAAAACAAACCTTGATATTGTTAAGGGTACATGCTAATGAAAATAAGCTACCCACAATACCTGGAATACTGTATATAGACATTGTGGAGCCATGGTGTATTGTCATCCATCCATTGCAAGCTGTGATTGTGTATTTTTATAAGGTCCAAATACACTTCAATCTAGAGGTTTAAGTTTGTGGCTGCATTGTGGAATGTGAACATGCGAAATGTGAACATGAGGTATGTGAATGTGAATATTAACATGAGGAATATGAACATGAGGAAATGAGGATTTAAAAAAATACCCCATTTTCTTTAAAGTATTCTAAAGTCTTTACTGAAAGATGAGAGTCATGATTGTCTTATAGGCAATAAAAAGGGTCTTTCTTTCCTACTTCTGACATATTTGACAGCAAATGCCACAGTTACTATATATATATATATATATATATATATATATATATATATATATATATATATATATATATATATATATATATATATATATATTTTTTTTTTTTTTTTTTTTTTTTTTTTTTTTTTTTTTTTGACGAAGTTAAATAAAAATAACTACATAATTTTTACTACTAAAAGTTTCATGCGTTTAGTAGTAAAAATTATGTAGTTATTTTTTATTTAACCTCGTCAAAAAAAACAATTATATTATGTGTATTATATAGCTCTGATATCATTCATCGAGCACTCTTGCTGAATATATGCTCACAGCAAAATTAAACTTGCTTAAATTGACGTTTTACGCAAATTTTGAGAAAAATTACAATCTTATTAACTACAATATTTCAGCAATAAAAACATCAAACTGACAGGAAAAATTGTTGATAATATAACAAAATTTAAAATCATGTTAATGAATGAAGAAAACATTCGAATGAGTGAAACTGCAAAACATTTTAACACAACAAATGCAACTTTTAGCAGAATAATCAGCCGATATTAAAGATACAATACAATTCAAAATGATCTATATCCTGGAAGACTCAGCTTTTCAAATAAAATAAATAAATGTTCACTTATTCCCATGGTGAAAAAAAAAAAGATATTTATCTACTGATCTCAGTCAACAAGGACTGAAGAGTCCTTGTTGACTGAGCACAAATTACATGTGAACACAATTACATGTGGCGTGCTGCTTGCGAAAAAGTCTCGTCTGTTGATAAAACATCAGAAAACAAAAAAAAACTGGTTGTAAAATTTTATATTATGAGGGTTCACTAATTCTTTATTAAATAATAACTTCTATGATCAACAACCATATAATATAAACTCAATCAAATATATTAACTTCTTGACATAAATTAACATTGTCGTACTACAATATCTCGTGAGAAGCACTTAAAAACTTACTGCACGCGGTTCTTGCTCAGCTTAAAATAAAAGCATGAGGCGAACCAATGAAAATTACTAAAAACTTAATTATACAAAAGATTGTTAACTAAACTTGATTATTATAAAATTCCCATTTTCTACACACTCCCCCCTGTTGACTTGTCAACATAGCTTGTCTTTCAATTGTCTTAAATATTTTCCTTCTATGGCAGACTGTTTCTTTGGCCGCTTATCATTTGACCCATGCGTCGTATTGGTTCACTCAGCCTCTTTAATAACTACACTGACTATATTTTTTGAAACATTTTCATCCAAGGGGATTAAATTTTGAACAGGGCGAAAATGCAATTTGGTCGTTCCTT